TTTTTTTTTTTTTTTTTTTTTTTTTTTTTGATACAGTGTCTCCCCATATCCCCAGCTGGCCTGGAACTCACTATGTAGATAGGCTGGCCTGGAACTTGCAGAGATTGGCCTGCCTCTGCCTCTCCAATGCTAGGATTAAAGGCGTATGCCACCACCCCCAGTGTTACTTTTTTATTTTGAGACAGGGTTTCAGACAGACCTTGAATTCACTATGAGGCCAAGCAGGCCTTAAACTTACAATCCCCCTGCCTCTTTGTGTGTGTGTGTGGGGGGTGTCTGTGTCTGTGTGTCTGTGTGTGTATAGAAGCTTGCACAGAGGCAGGGAGGAGTCTCTCACCTGCTGTTTCCTGTAGAAGCCTCTGAGGTCACAATTGGGCATGTAGAGCCCGTGTGCCCCTCGGAAGACCTCAGTCTGCAGGTGCTGCAGCACTGAATCCAGGTGTCTGCGGCAGGGGCCCTGGAGGGAGACAGCAGGGGATAAGTGATGGGGGCTGAGAACCCCAAGAGTTTGTTCTTGAGACTAGCAAGTGGGACTTCCTCAAGTCTATGGAGCAGTCTCCAGTGGGAATCTCCAGGAATCCCCAGCCCCCCTTCTCCCTACCAGTCCCACCACACACCATCTCGATGTCTTGAGCAACCCCTGGATTGGGCCGGGTAGGGGTTGTGGAGACTCCTGGATTCCTCTGTCGGTCTCTGTGGCTTGTGTCACGTGGCTGGGAAGCACCTCTGTGGGGTTTACTGTCCTTTGGAGTTTCCTCTATGGACACAGGAGGAATGAGAAGTAGAAATCAGCCAGAGCTAAAGACCAGCATCATGTGGTGAGCTTTGGCCCACCTCTACTGGCTGAAGTGAGAGCAACAAAGAGCTTTATGGATTAGAAGCAGCCAGTCCCCACCTCCCAGCCTTATGTTGGCTGCAGTTTCTTTCTCAAAGAAATAGTTATACTTCCAAGGACGATGGTGCATGTCTATAATCCCAAGACTTGGGAGGCTGAGGCAAGAAGGCTGTTACAAGCTTGAAACCAGCTTGGTCTACCCAGCAGGTTCCAAGCCAGTCGGAACTATATAGCGAGACTCTGTCAAAACAAACAAACAAAACAACCTCCCACACCCCAAATCTTTTACTTTTCCTGATAATATTTCACCGGGTAATTTTAAGCCTTATAAGGGAGAGAATTTTAAAAAGCAAAAACTGGGACTGGAGAGATGGCTCAGTGGTCAAGAACACTGGTTGTTCTTGCAGAAGACCTGGGTTCGAATCCCAGCACCCACATGGCAGCTAACAACCGTCCGTAACTCCAGTCCCAAGGGATCCGACAGCCTCTTCTGACCTCCTCTGGCATTGCACGACACGGGTGCACTTACTTACATGCACGCAATACACACACACACATTTGAAAAAAAAAAAAAAACAACCTTTAAAAACTGAGAACAAATGCAAAGCATTATTGGTTATTTCCAGGCTTTGGACCTGTCTGTCCATCGGATGCCAGAAGGGGGCACACCAGGGAAGGGAAATGGTCAGAAGAGCAAAGGATAGTAGGAGGGGTCAATAGGGACCCAATGGAATGTGTGCCCTTGTTGTGACCCCTGCAGTGACTCAGCCCACCCCTCCCAGGCCTGAGATGTGGTTACTTTGGGGGCATTGCATGAGAACATCTTTCTTCTCATCCCAGCTCAACCACAGTGGTCCCAGGAGCATCTGGATTCAACCCTCAACCAGGGATGTGCTGATGTAGGCTGCAAAGGGGCAGAGAATGAGGCTTTCCAACCTGCAGGTTGCACCTGGCTCTGGAGAGTTTCTGGGGTACCTAGGGAGAGCTCAGGGCTAGGAAGGGATGATGAAGTAAGTCAGAGCTAGGAATGGGCTGGGATGGCTGCAACATGCGAAGAGACTAGCTCCCATATGCCTCTGCAAAACTTTTATCCTTCCTCTGGGCACTACATCCTCCTCAGACCTTTTCCCTCAATCCCAGAGGGACTTTGACACCAAGCCATGTTTCAAACCGCCTTCTCCAGCCCACCCCTAGAAGCCCAGGCTCCTCTGACACCTGGTGCTGAGACTCTAAGTTTCTCTCTTTCTCTCTCTCTCTCTCTCTCTCTCTCTCTCTCTCTCTCTCTCTCTCTCTCTCCTCTTGGTTTTTTGAGACAGGGTCTTGTGTAGCTCAGGCTGGCCTGAGCAGCCAAGGATGATACTGAACTTCTGATCTTCCTTCTTCCCCCTCCTAAGTGCTAGAATTACAGGCCTGTGCCACCATGCCAGGTGATCAAACTTCATCTATCAACCCTTTCTAATCAGGAACTCAAAAACCTCTGTGGTGGGGGCAGTTTGCATTTCCTACCACCTTCCATCTTCCAGTTGCCTGCCCCCCATCTTTTGGGTGTTGACTCACTCCTGTCCCACCCACCCAATGACTCAGTCTCCTGTGCTCATCTCTGGGGTAGAGTGGGGTAGGGAGAACCTTGGGTTTCCAACAGGTTTAAACTATAAGCCTCTTTTCCCATCTCCTTAAAACTCTTTTACATATGCCTTTTTTTAATGGGGGCGGGGGGAGTCCAGATTTATCCCTGCCTTCTTCTCCGTTCCCCCTACCATGCCCTTCCGTCTAGCTGCGCTGGCCACTTCACTCCAAGAACGTTCCGTTCCAGGTTGAGGAGTAAGAACCATCAATGGGCAGGCCTTGCAGGCTTGCAGAGTCTGCCCACCCACATCCCTCCTGCTATCTGCAGAGAGACGTGTATCTCAGGTGGGCCGGGCGGGGGCGGAACGCGGACTCACCCGGCGGCCCGCGGGCGCGGTGACAGCGGCCCTGGCCCAGGAGCAGCGCTCGCAGAGGTGTCTCTTCATTTTCACGCGGTTGGCACTGCAGTCCTGGGGCGCACTTAGGGATGTAGACCCCGCATGGTTGCCCCTCCTTCCTGAGACAGTCCCCGGCTTCTGCACAGCTCCCTGCGGGCGAAGCCCCATCTGATGCCTCTTGCACGCAGCCGGCGGGACAAGCAGTCTGCACTCCCGGCCCGCAACCGGGGCATCGCGCTGAGGCGCCTCCTGAGCAGGCGGTGGGCAACAGAATGAGCAGCAGCAGCAGCAGTGGTGGCGGCAGCCTGTCCAGGGTCATGGTCAAGGTTTCTGCCCGCTACACTTCTTCCAGAGCAGTCCTAACGCAGCTGCTGCTGACCGCAGCTCCTCTGCTTTAAGTAGCCACTGGTCAGGGCTTTAAAAACCAGGTGAAGGGGAGGGGGGAGAAGGCAGAGGCATTCCCTAAGCTGGGTGGACTGGAGGGCCACCCACCTGGGTCCTCCCCGCTTTCTCTCCCTCCTTCTTCCTACTTGCTGTTTACTTCCCAAATTGTACTGATGTGATTTTTTTTTTTCTTTGTTCCTGGGACTCTCGCCCGGAATTTGGGAGCTGTACAGCTGGCTAGAGGGACTGCAGGATCGAGAGGGGAGAAGGGAAGGGCAGGAAAGGGTTTGTGAAGGCAAAACCTGAACTCCAGCTAGCCAGTGTATATGTGGGAACATGAAGGGCCTACAGGTGCTCCTGTGGAAGATGGGAGGCTAAGAGACAGATAATGGTATAGTGGCAGAAGATCCTGCTAAGGGCAGGAAGCAGACCCAGGGAGAGGAGAGGGAGGGCAAAAATGGGGAAGGGACAAAACATAGTCTTCTGAGCTGTGTCTGTAGAAAAAAAAAAAACAACCAAAAAACAGAGGAACCAATCTGAAGGAAGATACTAGAAAGGGCTGGGAGAGAGTGGTGAGGAATACACCTTGAATAAACTATAGGAAACCCCAACGTTACTGTCTGGAAGGATTGGAGAGTGGCTGAATGCAAAGGGAGAACTTGGAGGGAAAGGGGGAACCCTTCAGCTAAAACTCCTGAGGGGTGTGGGCAAAGGTAGGGGACTGTATTCTAGATGCTCTTAGTGGTCTGGCAGCAGACCTCATCTCACCCTCATCTCTGCCCTTCAGCTTAGCTTGTCCCTCTGTCCTTTTCCCTGTCCTTGAGTCCCTCTCCTTTCTCTGATCATCCCTTGGATTTTCTAGATTTCTCTGGTGGTGCTGTGACCCAGGGGCTTTGGAGAAGGACTGGTCCAAGTTTGTCTCAGTAGCCCACTTGCCTCAGTTTTCTCCGCTGGTCCCCGCCCCCCGGGGGGGCACCCATCCCCAGGCAGAGCCCCACCTATTCTCAGGCAGGGATGGGTGGGTCCCCAGCACTCCAGCGGACAAGAGGGACTGAGGGACTGCTTGGTTCGGCCACCCCTGGCCAGCCTCTGTTCTGGATTATGCAACGGCCATCTCACTCTTTCCTAAAACAAGGGCTCTGGGCAATGACTAAGTTTAAATTCTGGGCCCCCAAGCAAGAATGTCAGCAAAAGCTTCCTGAACTTTTAAGCAAATACAAAATAAAAGAACCTCACTCCCAGCACCGCCCATGGCTACCCAGGGACCCTAGGATCTGAGTTTGGACAGCAATGTTTTTCCGTTGCCCAGAGATACAGATGCAGGGAGACGAGACTGCTGTCTTCCACCAAGGCCCTGTGATTGTCTACTCTTAAGACCCAAGGGTGGGAGTTTGGTTCCTGTGTCCAAACCCTTATCTCTATTATTTATTTCCTTTTTTTAAAAAAGCATGGCACATGGTTCTGGCTAGGGCCTTTCTCTTAGACTCCAGCTTGCTGCTTCTGAATAAGAGGAAAAACAAAAACAAAAAAGAAAACAAAAAAACCAAAAACCCATGGTAAATTGAGGAGGATGAGACAGAGGGTGGGATGGTCTCAGTGTGTTTTTTGACATTTGTGTTCCATCTTTGCAGAGAAACCCCACACTCTGCCGACTTCTAAGGCTCACCACTCTCTCCTGTCCTCTAATCACCCTTCTTGTAGCTTGCTGGCCCATCTAGTCCCTCTCTGGAAGTTAAGCAGGGCTTCACAGTGAAGGGATCCCATAGAGCCTAGTACTGTGCTACCCCTTTTCCATCTGTCCAGTACAAGTGTCCAGAGTTTTGTGCCCATTCCTGCTTGGGCACAAATCTTGCATACAGAGGTCCTGTCTTAGCACCCAGGGCAGAGATCTGGAGCTGTGGTTGATGGGTGCTTGAGCTGGGTTGCATGCCAAGTGCAAGCCCCTGAGTTTCTGCACTATCGGTTTGCTGAGAAGCCTCTGCCAGGGCTGAGGAAGACTAACCTTGGGCTATGACATACGTTTGTCCATAAACTTGTTAGTGGCTTCCTCCTCCCTATGCATGTTACACTGTTCTGATCCCCAAAGCTCTGCAACCTGTATGTCCCATGTGCCCTCAGGCATTGACTTCCAGAGTACTGATTTCCTTTTGATAACAAAGGGTAGAGGGAGAAGACTGTCTAGACCATTTTCAGCTTTAAGTCTGGGAAGAAGGTTGAAGGTCCAAGCCAAGAAGACTCAGAGAGGAAGGCCAATGACTATGTGGTGACAGAGCCTGGGTCTCGAGTGGGTCTGTTGTGATAACCCTTGCTAGTGTCCAGGCTGTTTTCTGCCACCTGCTCCCCAACACTTTCAAACCTATCCTGCTAAAGTGCTGACCTGATTGAGTGATGGTCTCCTCAAAAGCCTTTGGGGGTACTCCATCCTCCCCGCATAGAGCTCTGCTCCCTTTTGATATTTTTAGCCATGTGTGTTGGGCCCTGTAATTACACTCTGATTCAGCCAGGTAGTTGGATCATCTTCCTTAGAACCCTCTGGTAATTTCCCATTTGGGGGTCTGAACTGAGATAAGAGGAAGTGAAAGTAAGGCATAATTTTTTTTTTGCGTGTGTGTGTGTGTGTGTGTGTGTGTGTGTGTGTGTGTAGACAAAGTCTGGCTTTTATTCCTCCGAATTACGTGCCTAAGAGCAGAGAAAGAATCTACTCAGCTAGAGAGGCCCACTAGAGGCTGCAAGGGCAAGGTAGATTCTGAGTTGAACTTTAAAGGGTTTTTTTTTCTTTTAATTTATTTAATAACCACGTAATTAGTAGAAGCATTTCATTACAACAGCATTGACTTGGTCAATAACAGTTTCCAGAGCAAAGATGCATCTCTTTCAAAACTGGCTGTAATTTTTGGGTTCACATTGTTGAATTAATACAGTTAGACGTTACTATACTCAGTATAAACCCTATAAGACATAAAATTGAATGAGGTTTTAACCTTTAAAAAATATTTCCATTTCATTTTAGAATATACTGTTTCATAGAGAAAAACTCATTAAAATTTTTTTTATTATTTTTATTTTATGTGCATGAGTGTATTGCCTGCATGTATGATAGTGCACCCGTGTTGTGCAGTGCTGTGGAGGTCAGAAGAGGGCTTCGGATTCCCCTGGAACTGGAGTTAAGGATGGTTTGTAGCTGCCATGTGGGTGCTGGGGATCGAACCTGGGTCCTCTGCAAGAGTGGTCAGTGCTCTTAACTGCTGAGCCACCTCTCCAGCCCTGAAAAACTCATTTTTAATGCAAATAACACTTAGATGTTTACACATGCGTCTCTAATCTCTGTCGTAATTGGTTTTTTAGAGGTAATTTCTTCCTCAAGTCTCCAAGCGTGGTGGCGCACGCCTTTAGTCCCAGCACTTGGGAGGCAGAGGCAGGTAGATTTCTGTAAGTTCAAGTCCAGCTTGGTTTACATAGTGAATTCTAGGCTAGCTGAGGCTACAGGGAGACCCTGTCTCCAAAAAAAGAAAAAAGACCAAAACACCCCCATAAAAGTAGTACATATTGATGGGGTACTGTGTGATGTTTTAGTTCATGCATGAATTGTGTTATTTATTAAGCTAAAGATCTCTTCAAACATTTGAAATAATTTTTTCTGGCTTTTAACTTTTTTGTTTTTAATTGTGTGTGTGTGTGTGTGTGTGTGTGTATGTCTGTCTGTCTTATTGCATGTGTAAATGCAGGTGCCTGGGAAATCTAAAAGGGGGCATTAGATCCCCCGGAAGGGGAGTTATAGGTGGCTGTGGACCACCATGTGGGTGCTGGGAACTGAACTCACATCCTTGGCAAGAGCAGCCATCTCTCCAATCCCTTTCTGTTTTTTTTTTTTTTTTTTTTTTTTGAGACAGAGCCTTGCTGGAGTCCCAGTTGACCTGTAACTCACAATGTAGGTCAGGCTAGCCTCAAACTCACAGAGATTTGCCTGCATCTGCCTCCCGAGAGCTGGGATAAAAGGTGTGTGTGTGCCTCTATGTCTTTTCTAGCTTTTTGAGATATACAGTGCACAAGCTATACTCATCAGTATATAATAAACAGTCCAGAAACTCAGTTCATGGTGCTGGGGAAAAGCACTTGCCTAGCATATATGAGGCCCTAGGTTTGAGCCCCAGAACTGAAAAAGATCATCTGGGATGCCAGGGTATTCTGGGATAGAGTGTAAATTGTGACAAATTAATCTAACTATGTTATACATTTATGACATAAACACACTCAGGGGATGAGAAGAACAAAGAACTCTGGAAAACTGTTTTGAAATCATCAGAACTAAATATAAAAGGAATGATAAGTTCTATATAAGCACTGTACTCTATAGCTGGTAAATTTGCATCTCAGCTGGGTATGGGTTAAAAATTTTAAAGTACTTAACATATTGTTAAGGTTTGAGTGTGAAATGCCCCACCCCCAGGTTCATGTGTTTGAACGCTTGATCCTCAGCTGATACAATGTTCTGGGAGGTTGTAGACTCTTTAGGACCCACCCAGCAGAAGTGAATGGGGCGGAGCAAGCCCTAAAGATAATATCTGATTCTGGTTCTAGCCTACAATCTCTGCTTCCTGATCCAGCCCACCAAGATGTGAGACGCTGCTGCCTTACACTTCAACCACCATGGACAGAACAACTCTAGCCACCAAGCCTTCCCTGACACAGTGACCTAAAAGTGGTCTTTAACTCCAGTTCCAGGGGATTTGACACCCCCATTGGCCTCCATGGACATTGCATAACATGGGTGCACTTACATACATTCAAGCATAACACTCACACACATCACATAAAAATATATATATATTTTTCTTTTTGAGATAGGGTCTCCTTGTAGCCCCAGCCGTCCTGGAACTCACTGTGTAGACCAGGCTGGCCTTGAACTCACAGAGATCTGCTTGCCTCTGCCTCCTGAGTGCTGGGATTAAAGATGTGCGCCACCATGCCTGGCAAAAATAAATTTTTTAAAATTATTTTTATGTGTATGAGTGTATTGCCTGCATGTAGGTAAGTGCGCCCGTGTCTTGCAATGACCTCGGAGGACAGAAAAGACTGTTGGATCCCCTGGAACTGGAGTTATGGACAGTTGTTAGCTGCCATGTGGGTGCTGGGATTTGAACCTAGGTCTTCTGC